CAGAATGAGAGTCCAAACAGCTGATAAAAACATCACAATAATCCACAAGTAATCCACACCACTCCAGTCCATCGGTTCACATCTGGAGAAGCCAAAAGCTGTGTGTTTGTGTTGATTAAATCAATCATTAAGACATTTTTAACTTCAAACTGTTGCTGTTGGCCAAAGTACGAGTTCATAATATTGCTTTCCCTGATAAAAAATCATCTAGTCTGAATCAGGAGAGAAGTATGCTCAAGTCAAGCACCGTTTACAAGCCAAAACAGCTCTAAACAAGTATATGTGTGGATTTTGATGTGAGAGACAACAGGAGATTATTGAGATTACAGCAGTGTTATTATGGATTATGGACTCATATTTTAGCCGGTAGAGACAGTTTAAAGTTAAACACATCTTAATGATGGATTTGACAGCTTTTCACTTCATAAAACATTCATTGATGGACTGGAGTGGTGTGGATTATTGTGATGTTTTTATCAGCTGTTTAGACTCTCATTCTGACGGCACCCATTCACTGCAGAGCATCCATTGCTGAGACAGTGATGCAATGCAACATTTCTCCAAACCTGATGAAGAAACAAACTCATCTAGATCTTGGATGGCCTGAGAGTGAGGACTTTTTTTTTTTTTTTAGCAAATTTTCAGTTTTGGGGGAAATGTTCCTTTAAGATCTCTTCAGAATAACAGGTGAGGTTCCCTGGGTCTTTTTCTCAGAAACATCTGAGAAGCAGGAAACATCTCAATTAACACTTTTTTAATCTTATTGCTGTCTAGGAGAAACGATTGAGATCTGATGTGTGATTTTCTGCTGCATGTTCTTGTGATTTCTTCAACAGTAAGACGGATTACTGAAAGATGAACAGTTTAACCATTTAATCACCGAGTAATGCTGCTGAAATGGGCTTAACCTGGTTCTCAGACCTGATTACGGGTCAGTCTGACACGGCGCTGGCACATAATGTCGGTCAGGGATCAAAGAAAGAGGTGAGGATGTCTTCGGTTAGCGAGGATGAAAGAGAAGAGATTCTGACTCATATATAAATATATAACACAAATAAACAAATGTTTTCTTTAGCGTGAGCCACAGCTCTACAAAACCTGTTTGGATCGATTAACTGTGCACATGAATAATCTATGTTGCATGTGAAGAATTAATAGTGCGTTCGGAGTCAAGCATCAGTCACTATACTAGCACTTCACCGTGTAACTCGTCCTGCAGCATTCCTGCTGCTTTAACACCTTAGCAACTGCAGCAACCACTCACGTTTTCCTCAGATAATGCAGAAAT